GTGTGTGATTGGCTTATTTCACTTAACGTTATGTCCTCAAGGCTCACCCAGGTGGTAGCAAGGTTGAGCATGAATAATATCCCATTGTATGAATATACCACATTTTGCTTATCCATCCATCTTTTGATCTATGGCCATGGCTTGCTTCCACCTTTGAGCTATTGTGAATAATGCTGCTGTGAGCATGAATGTACAAATATGTTTTTGAGACTCTACTTTCAATTCTTTGGTTGCAGGAATGAGCCAGGCATATGTTTTGTTTTGTTTTGTTTCACCTACATTCCCCAGGTGATTCAATGTGTATTCAGAGGTATTAATCACAGACAAGCAGGCACTCCATAAGTAATAAAAGGTAGAAGGAGGAAAATGGAAGTTCTTGAACTGCATGCTGTAGCACATTTGTGTGGGCAGTGACAGTAAAAGCAGCCCGCAAGGAGATACTAAAGAAGACAGTTCTTTTTTTTCTCATTTTCTCTGTAAAATCCCTCTGTATTTTCAAGATGTGAAATTCCTGCTCCAGATATTATACTTGATGAACAAGTATAAAACATTCAAGACATTTCTAAAGCCCATGTCTTAGTCCATTTGTGCTGCTATAACAAAATACCTGAGACCGGGTAATTTATAAAGAACAGAATGTTTTTTCTTATAGTTCCACATGCTGGGAAATCCAAGTTTCAGGTGCTGGCATCGGTGTCTGCTGAGGGCTGCTCTCTGCTTCCAGAATGGCACCTTGTTGCTGTGTCCTCACATGGCAGAAGGCAGAAGGGCAAGAGAGCACCCCCCTCAACCTTGAGTTCTTTATAGGGGTGCTAATCCCATTCATAAGGGCTCTGCCTCCCAACGGCCACACCTCTTAATACAGTTGCACTGGGGGTGAAGTTTCAACATGAAGTTTGGAGGGGGTACCACCACCATTGAAACAGAGCAGCCCATTAATCACCTTTGGATCTTAGAACTGAGGGCGCTCCAAGTCATAAAATGCCACATTTGTTATCATACCTGAAAAACCCTTAGCCTGAACTAACATTCTCCAAACACAGTAGAATATAACTGATTACTGTCTTAAACCTCTGAACTGGATTGATTAAGACGTCTCAAACAGAGAGCAAACAACCAGGTTAAAAGGGGCTAAATGCTAACTTTATGACAGAATTCACAGAAAGCAGAGGTTTTCTTTCAGACTGAAAAATAATCATCCTTAGGCTTTACTTTCATTTTCACACTATTTGCTCCCTTGACAGGATGTGATATTGAGGCCAAGACTTTGAATCTTAGAATTCTCTTTCCGTTTTCCACATTCCATATTTAGTCCTCATGTCTCCAGCCGGCTCTTCTAACAAAAGTAGAAATGCATCAATTCTACCCAAACAAATCCCTCGATCTTCTCTGGATGAAAAGGCTGGTGCCTCCCACTTGCCACGTCCAATCCTGCAGTGATCACAGCAGGACACTGCTGCCCCAGGACAAGTCCCAAAGGTCCTCTCCATTTGGCCTCTGCTTACCTCTCCAGCCTCATCGCTTATAACTTCCTTCTGGACCCACTGAATTTCTCTCACTTCCTAGAAGGCTCACACTCCCTCTCATTTCAGGACGTGTTCAGTTTCCTGTCTCTAAAGCACTCCCTACCTCCAGATGTTACTTTCTCTGTTCAGCTTCCTCTGCCCCACCCTGACACAGCTGGTATGCACCACAAGAGCTATGACCTTGGCACCCAAGCAAGGAGTAGCACTGTGCCAGTAAAGGACACTGTCACAGCCATATCCATTTGTCTGAATGGGACCAGTAACTATTATATTGCACCCATCTTGCTATGCTACTATACATCTTTTGAAAACCAAAGTTCTTAGCCAGGCGTGGTGACTCACACCTGTAATCCCAGCACTTCGGGAGCCAAGGCAGGCGGATGCCTGAGCTTAGAAGTTCAAGACCAGCCTGGGCAACGTGGTGAAACTCTGTCTCTACTAAAACTACAAAAATTAGCTGGTCGTGGCGGCACACACCTGTAATCCCAGCTACTCAGGAGACTGAGGCATGAGAATCACTTGAACCCAGGAGGCAGAGGTTGCAGTGAGCCCAGATTGTGCCACTGTACTCCAGCCTGGGCAACAGAGCAAAACTCTGTCTCGAAAAAATAAAATAAAATAAAATAAAAAAGAAAAAAGAAATAAATCTGTCTATTTAAAAAAGGAAGGAAAACTGAGTTTCTGATAACTGCATGTATTAAATATTCAAATAACACGTAGGTTCTTTCCAATTTTTCGCTATCATAAATAAGGTTTTGATAAACAATTTATTAGCTGGTTGCCTCACTTGGACCAAGTTAGTTAAGCTCCCTAGGCCTCAGTTTTCCATCTGTAAGAGAAAGTGCAAGGGCTGTAGTGCCCATTTCACACAGGCACATACAACAGGGTCAGGTAAATATTAACCTCTCTATAAACATTAATTATTGATATTGTTACCTTTGGGTTAAATTTATTTTTATTTAGAATTATTTTTCTCTATTCATTTTATTCAACAATTATTTATAGATCTTAAGGTGCATATGGCACTGTGTTAGCCCTAAGGACATAAAGACAAATAAAGCATGTACTGCCCCTACCCGCCTGGGGCTTAGAACCTAGGAAAGGAGACAGATGTTGGAGAAGTCATTACAGATATGATAAATGTTATAAAAATGAGGAAAAGAGTACCTGGTTTGAGGGTGAGGTGTGGTTCAGGGAAAATCTCTTTGAGGAAGTGGCCATTAAGTTAATGACTCATTAACTGAAAATGACCTGAAGTTAACTGGACACCATCTAGAGCCTCAGAAATATAGCTTTATGGCTCTAACTAGATACAGTCAAATTGCTTTCCAAAAGGATTGTGCATATTTACCCCTTGGCCAGGAGAAAGTAGTTTTACCATATTATAGGCAGCTTTAAGGAGCATATAGACAATTTAAGGCTTGTGATATATATTGCCAAATTGCTTCCTTTGAGGGATTACAGTGCCTCTGGCAACACAGGAAGGTGTAACTTGTCTCTCTCATCTTCCTCCATGAGATTATCTTCAAATAATTGCAAACAGCTGATAACTTATCTCTCAACCTGTTTTTAGAATAATTTTAATATAGAAAGATGATCATTAATACTAAATCCTAACTAGGGGTTATACATATTAAATTATAAATATTTTTAAATAAATTATTAACTTCCACTGGGTTGCCAGGATTCCAGGTGACCTGAAAATACTCCAGAGCAGCAGATATGAGGTCTGGCATAGCACCCTCATGAAGCCAGTCCCTGTCCGTCTGGCTGTGTTCATACATTCAACAAATATCCCTAGAGCACTGTGATGGTTAACATTGAGTGCCAACTTGATTGGATTGAAGGATGCAAAGTACTGTTTCTGGGTGTGTCTGTGAGGGTGTTGCCAAAGGAGATTAACATTTGAGTCAGAGGCCGGGCGCGGTGGCTCAAGC